ACGCCAATGAAGCTCGTTTTAGTTCGTCTACCGTGAATAGTCTGACGAACTTGGTTATGTCTAGGTGATGTTTGTTTTTTCTTCGAGATAACTTCTAACTTTTTGTTTCGTACGCGTGTCTGTATTGTTCGATATTTGTAGTGTACATTGTCGTTGTAGGGTTTAGATTAGATTTTTCTTGACCTGTGCAGAAAGATGTATAACCGAGAAGCGAGGCGCCTGATCGATTCGCCCCTTTGTATAATAAACACGTGACCGACGACAGCCTTAGTGGAATATTTCCCACAACCACAGGCAAGCAGTTTTGTTAGGCAGAAATAATAACCTATTGGTCATTTTAAGGATAGCCTCTTGATTTGTCCTGAAATCCCTCTGTACACTAGTGTATTTCATCTTTGTAATAAACATTTTTGGTAATTTAATTTAATTTAATTAGCCTTTATCTTCTTTTTACTACCTAATATTAAGTTTGACCTGATTGGTTTATCACATCTAATCAGTGTGGTAACTGGTAAGTGAGAAGTTTAGTCTTTAAAGCAATAATTAATTGTAAGTGAAGAAAAGTGTTCTTACTTACTACAAGGCACTGCTGGTGGGGGCTCCCTGTGTGAAGTTAAAAGCCATATTTGTCAACCAATGACAAAAATTCCAGAATTAAAATGTTTTATTTATTTATAAAGACTCCATTTTTTCCTTCACAAAAGAAGCATATTTGTCAGAAAAGAAGATGGCATAGTCCTTTCACACTGAGGTTTGTCACTCCACACCACCCATATATATATATGTATAATAGTAGCTTTTGGATTTATATTCTTTCTTGATTTATAAGGTGCTGGTTAAATATTAACACAGGGAAGAAGCAGAAGCATGTCCATGGTAGGATGGAAGAAGGATGAGGTATTCAAAGCCGGCCCGAAAGGGGCCCGCCGCCCTGGAACCACCTTGGCTGCCGTCGAATCATTGGCCGTACCTCTTGTAAGTTTAAATTCTTCTGATTTTCTTTTTTTTTTTGTTTTGTTGTCGTCTGAATTTTGCCTGTGGATGGAAGTAGGTGCAGGAAGTGGTGTTTTTGGCCGATTTTCGGTGTCCGATTTGCCAGCATAGGGTGGCTGAGATTATGTCGAAAATGAACGGTACCATATTATTTTTTCTGCACTCGAATTCGACTTGTTTTTTTTTTTTTTTTTTTTTTTAAATGAGGAGCTGAGGGAGATGAATGAGGTAGATTTTTTTGCAGTGGTGGTGGTGGTGGTCCAGGTTTTTTTTCTTGACAAGTTTGATTTTGGCCATAGTTAGTGGAATTCCTAGGATTCCTTTTTTGCAATAGTAATATGGGTAAATTACAACCATGGTCAAATTATGAAAAAAAACCTCTTGTTTGGGTAATTACAGTCACCCCTCCTTTTAAATATTTTTACATAAAACTTATGTAATTCGGTTATTTACCAAACCAAATCGTATATTCAATTCGGTTATTTACCGACTTAACATCCATCCCTAAATTTACCTCTGAAGGGGTATTTTCGTAAGATAATATATATTTGAGGAGTAACTGTAATTACCCAAACAAAAAGGTTTTTTTTGTAATTTGACCATAACTCAAGGGTGGCCGTGATTTGCCCAAATAATAGTTGCCCTTTTGTTAAGCCAACACATTTTGACTTTGTTACACATCTTCAAAGATTCTTTTTTTCTTCTAAATAATAACAATAATTAAAAGAAAAAAAGAAAAGGCAAAAGCACACTAGGAGAGATTGAGAGATGTTTACTCATTACTGTATATGGAAAGTATAATTGGGTTTGTATTATTTTTGTAGGAGAGACTGAATCTGTGGTGATTAGTGTTGTCGAGAAGACGGTGACGCTCACTCGTTCGTATCCAAATCCCGATAAACGAATTGCGCACGCTAGTTCTTCGACCAAGGTTTCCGTTATTGTGCGCCTGCTTCGCTCTTACTGCACTTAACTGCTACTAATAAATAACCCTAGTTAACCACAATTCAGTCACATATGAAAAACTAAACAGTGATTTACTCTTTACTTGCTTATAATGTTAGTAACACATTTTAGAGGTGTAAATAACATTCCACATTTTATTATTAACTGAATAAATAAATAATAATAATAATAATAATAATAATAATAATAATAATAATAATAATAATAATAATAATAATAATAATAATAATAATAATAATAATAATAACATTCCATGTGGCATTGTTTTGATAATATACTTGGAGTATATTATTGCCTTGTTTTGTGATTATGATGTTTGATGGACAATATAAATCAAATTTTGTTTAAGTGTGTGATTTATGTTTCAATTTTTTATGTTCACAAAACTTCCTCCTTTTTTTAAAAAGAGTTTAATATTATTATTCGTAGCATCAACCATAATACATGAAAACGGTATAACTCGGCATATGTAATGATATAAATCGGTACATGAGAAACGATATAACTCGGCATATGTAGAGAAAAACGACGCACGATATTTCAATTATAAATGAAGGAATTAAGATCTTATATAAGAGAAAATATAAAATAATGTTTTCTTTTGCTAAGAATACAATGCTAAAATGTTATTTACAAGGCAAGCTAAAAAAGCAAATCAAGAAATCAAGAAATCAAAGCCTTGTCAACTTTGCACAGGAATTAGATTCTTTGTTGAACTAAAAAGATGACTTTCTGCAGAAAACCAATCATCATCTTTTTTTTATGAACACAAAAAATATAATTTATTTTTTAATTTTTTTCGTCCCGATTTTCTCTCTTACAGTACTGTATTTTCTTAGGACAATTAAGCAGCCATTAATCTGGGTTCTCATCAAAGCTCCATGTCAGGACAGGCAAGAATCCTTCTTACCATATTAGTATATATTTAATTACCATGTTAATATTGACATTTAATCCAAAAAAATATAATAAATTAATTCATAAATCCGATTTTGTTATATATCATGCACGTATGTTACTTGTGACAAAACCACAGGTCCATTGCATGGCGATGAGACTGAATCTTGACTGCAATGCTTGTTGCAGAAAAATGAGAAGAATCCTTCTTAGGATGAAAGGTAATAAATTATGCTATTATTTTTATTACGACGAACTCAAATTACGTTGTCCAGGCGTAATAGTATAATTAAATAATCATCTTTTTTTTCGTGGTAACGTTTTGAAGAAATAGAGAGTCATTTGATAGAGAAGCAGCAGAACAGGGTGACCGTTTTCGGAAGATTTACTCCGGCTGATGTGGCAATAAAGATAAGGAAAAAGATGAAGCGTAGAGTCGAGATTCTCGAAATTCAAGAGTTTATTGGACATGTAGAAGAAATTAAAAATAATTTCAGAGTTATTACTTAGCTGCAGATTTTTTTTTATTTTTTATTTTCCTTGCTATGTAAATATTACTTGTAAAACAAAAATGCAAAATTTAGTTGTTTGTGGAAAAGGGTATTGTTCTTATCAAAGTTTTTGAAAAGAAAAGTTTGTTTTCGAAGCAAGTAGAAGAAGTAATTAATTAACAATGTATAATGAATTGCGCTATAATAAAATGTTGAGTCGATCCTAGGGTCCGAAAGGTCTAAGGCGAACACAATAAATGGGGACCCGTTTTTTTTTTTTTTTTTTTCTTTCCGTGTTTGTATTCAAAAGTATTTGGCATTTTGTGTCTTCCGCGAGGTGTATATGGATGGAAGTCGGACGAATTTCGGACAAATTTCAAAAGAAAAATTGAAGAAAAAAACTAATTTCAACTCTGTTGAAAAAAAATATACACTAGAATTACTATGGCCATTCATTTAATTTAATATAACTAAAATGTTGTGAAAATAAAACTATAAAACTACACTTAATTAGTCCACTTTATAATATTAAATAAATTGTTAATGACCTACTAACTCTCTTTTTTCTTATATAGATAAAATTTTATATATAAAAGAAAGCAACGGTTGTCAACCTAAAAAATTCTAATATCTGCAATTATTTATTTTTAATATTTTTTATGTATTAATTTTCAACAATTGTTAATTTTCTAATTTTCATCAATATATCTCATATCTTAATACATAAAGATAGAAATTCGATTTGTTAAATCTAAATTTATATATTTGGATTATAAATCTTAATATGTGAAATTTAAAAAAAAAATTAATGTTATATAAAATATGAATAATACTACATTATTAAATTTTACTATGTTAATTTACTATATTTTCTTATTATACATTAAATTAAATTTTTTTTCACTTTTAAAATAATATTCGGTGCATGAACGAAAAAAAAAAAAAAAAAAAAAAGCTAGTTTGGATAAAAGCACCAATTTAATCTAAAAAAAGAAAAAAGAAAAAAGAAAAAAGAAAAGAAAAAAAAGATGATGCGGCAAAATAAATCCCCCTTGTTCGTCTTTTCATGATCCGAAACCTACACGAAGTCGGATCTCAATCAAACAAACCTCTCGAGTTTTGTTCTTCCCCCAAACCCTAACCCCAACCCTAATTCCTTAATTCTTTCGCGAATTCAGAATCTCAATTGTTTTTTACTTTGCCACAGCGAATGGCTACTGATTCCGGTGAACCAACGCTTCGCAAGCACCACCGATCCTCCTCCACGGACGATGCGGAGGAGCGTTCCAAACGCCGCAAACACCGACATCACCACCACCGCCACCGACATCACCACCGGCATCGGAGCAGTAAAGATAAGGAAGATACGGCCACAATAACTACAGAAGAATTGGAAAGAGAGAGAATTGATGAAGTTGAGGCTGAAGAAAGGAAATTTGAAAATAATAGGGACGAGGATGGAAGTTCCTTGGCTGAGGTTTTGGTATCGACCGCGTCGGAGTTCGCTAGGGTTGATTATGAAGTCGAGGAAGGGGAAATTATGGAGGATGATGGATTGCCTGCTTTTGTTGAAGAGGATTCGGAGAAGTGTAAGACATATATGAATACCGATATTGACTATGGGGAAATCAAGATTAATAGATATGATGATTCTAACATGGTATGTTCAAATTTCCCTCGCTCATTTTTTTTTAAATTTCTACAATATTCTTTTAATAAGACTTTTTCTTTGATCATGTGGGTCTTTCTGGATTCTTTTTAGTGCACGTTTGGTTGCTGAGAAAAAAAATGATCTGTAATCAATGTGCAATTATGGTTTCAGACTTGCAGCCTTTTTATGCACACCCATTGTATGATTACAACACAGTAGACTTGTATGTACACATGCTGCTTCTACTCTAAATGCCTTTTTCTGCATCTACAATTTGTGTACGAGAACTTTTGTATTTTTTGTTTAGGATTAGGTTTGTCGGAAATTAGTTTGCCATGAGGTCTTTTACCAATTAAAATGATGAACATCCTTGCAAAGGTTTTAGCTGCATTACACAGACCCTTACACGACAAACCTGGTAAATATTATCAATAGGGAGATTTGCATCTGTAATTACATTTTGTTGCCAGGCAAAGTCTCTCTAGGCGTTTCCACTTTCCAGAATACTGAAGTGATGGCTTTCAATTGATTGTAAGATTTGGTTGTATGTTTAAAGCCCTTGTTAGTTTTCAGTTTGGTGTTGATTTATTGAGTAAAGTTTCTCGTTTTGTTTTCATTACAGGGTGTTAATGAAGAGAATGTAGAAAGAGTTGATAATAAAGACAGGAAACTGAGAAAGGACATTGTGGGTGATAAAGAAGATGGTGAAATGAATCACAAAGTTGACAATGGACTTCTTTATAAAGATGGTAAGGGGAAAATCGACTGTGTTGATGAAGTTGAGCAAATAAGTCGGCGGAAATCTTCGTCTTCTGAGAGAAGGCCCAGTGCTGTTTCACGCCACCGCTCTCATGATAAGTACCTGAAAGAAAGTTCTCATATGAATTTACCGAAGTCACCAGAACGGTCTAGGGGAAGATCTCGGTCCAGAAGCATTGCAAAAGCGGATTCTGTGGAGGATTCCTATTATGTAGAGAGGAAACGCCACAATGAACCTGATGATGAAAGGGTGATAGCACGTACCAAAAATTACAGGCACAACAACAGAGATGGTGTAAAGGAGAAAGAATGGGAGCGTAGTTCTAGCATATATCCAGAGAGAACAGGAAGACATAATGGCTCGGAAACTACTGATGTATATAGGGAGGGAAGCAGGGAGAGGAATTGGGATGGAGATAGAAATAGAGAGAAAAAAAGGGAGGACATGGAAAGGGAGAGAGAAAGAGACAAACTTCGAGATAGATATAGAGGGGAGCGGGAGTTGGTGAAGGACAGGTCCAGAGACAGGGACAGAGAACAGGAGAGGGACAGAGAGATGGGGAGAGAGAGGGAAAGAGAAAGGGGAAGGGACAGGGAGAGGGAGAAGGATCGACTAAGAGAGGAGAGAAACAACGATAGGGACAGAGTTAGAGAAGGGTTTGGCAGAGCGGCGAGAAGCAGAGATAGAGATAATGAGAGCGATAGGGTAAGTAGGCACCAGCGATATGAGAAGGATGAGGGTGGTTATAGGGAAAGGGATAATGATTCCAGGCACGGAAGAAACTCTGATGATTATCGTAGAGAGAGAACAAAGAGAAGCGAGTTAGAAAATGCAAGCTTAAAAGAAAAACGGGAGGATCGGGGTGATGAGAATCTTGAAAGGTATATTTTTATTCTTAAACAAATCAATTTATTATAATTTTTTCTTATACTCCTCTGCCTCTAATATTTCAGTTTGTGTTTTGTGGTCTCAGGGAAGATGACAGACAGGAGGACTATCAAGAAAAGATTGAAACACAACTAGCAGAACAGGAAGAAGATGACCTAGAGAGAATTAAGGAAGAAAGTAGGAGGCGCAAGCAAGCTATCCTTGAAAAGTACAAAAATAAACAGCAGCAGAATGAAACCCATTCACATGATATAGGTAAGACTTTGTTTGTACTGTTTTGGTAATATTATTTTTTGTCCTGCATCATCTCTAGAGAAGTTAGGTACTTTGAAGTCTGAGCTATTTGGCTGGTTTGGAGGAACTTTTGGTTCAACTTCATCTTCGAATGTCATTTGTTTGTTATTGCAAATGATTCCATGTGCAGAGTAATCTTATTCATTCATGATGTTCTGTTCACCTTTTGTATTGGTTCATTTGCATGGCATTCTGTAGAATCATCTGGTTTTATTTATTACTTATGAATTATCATTTTTAGTGTTTCTGTTCTTTATGTATTAGAGTGAAGCACAAAGGTATCTACCTTGTGAAAGAAGATATATGATGGATTATTGTTGAAGTGTCTTATTCGCTTTCTCCTCTTTATTGATTAAGTTGAGATCTTCATATTGAGCTTTCTGATAGCTAGAATGGCATTTTATGATTAAGCATGATCTTTAACACTTTTTATAGATAGATAATTTTGGATGTTTACTTATTCTTCTGTTGGTGTCATGTTTGTTGATTTTCTATTTTGCTGAATCTTATTTCTCATGAACCAGTTAAGGATCAAATTGGAGAGTCTCCTGCACAAGTGGCATCTGATGAAGCTGTACCATTAAAAGTTGACAACAGGATGGAAGTGGCGGATAATTATGTTCCAGAAAAATCCTTTTCTCTCGGGAAATCACCTTCAGAGAATGGTCTTTCTTTTCAATTGCCCACTGGAACTGGCGGACTAGGAGAGGGTACTCCTAAGGTACTTCACTTGCCATTTAATGTAAATTATTTTAGTTTCATAATGAGCAATAATAAATTTCACTTGCTGATTCTCTTTTGATTGATAAGAAAAAGTCGCGCCATGGTTTCTTTCTTTTCATGTTATAGTTACATTTGACATTCATTATTTCTTCTCATTCCTTTTTGATATACCAACTTCCTTTAACATTATCATGAATGTCTTTGTAAAACTATGCAGAGCGAGAGATTGGATGATATGTTCTGTGATGATATATTTGGAGAATCTCCTGCTGGAGTTCGTAAAGCGGTGAGTCTTACAGTTTTCACAAAACTGATAAGCCTGCAATTTCCTGCTCGTGTTGCCCTATTCTTTATTTGTACTTTTTTCTGTCAATAATTAATCATTAATAATTTAAATTTTCCCCAGGGTAAAGGAGATGGTGTGGCTATTGAAAAGGGTGGATTTCATGACAACTGGGATGATGCGGAGGGTTATTATGGTATGTGTCTGATTAATAACTTTTCTACTCCGTAATTTGTGTAGCTTATTCTTCTTAGATGTTGGTAGTGTCAGTTGAGTTATACGAGGTTCATCTTTTCCTTTACTTTCTATGAAAACTTGTTTAGCTTTGTCTGTTCATTTGTGTAAACTTCCATGGTTGTGTATTTACATATTATTGATTTTTTACTAAATTATTTGTCTGCTCGAGTGAAGTAGTTCATCCTCTTGACATTTAAATTGCACTTATAGATTTAATTGCTGCATTCTCATGTTTCTAATAACCAGGCTACCGCTTTGGAGAAGTACTTGATGGCAGATACGAGATAATTGCTGCCCATGGAAAAGGTGTATTTTCTACTGTTGTTCGTGCGAAGGATCTCAAGGCTAGGCCTGGTGATCCTGAAGAAGTGGCAATTAAAATCATTCGTAACAATGAAACAATGTGAGTGGTGATTGCTTTTATCGATTTGATATGTAAATGGATGTTGTTTAACTGCAATGGTTGTAGCTCATGTGGTACTTTGTTTATAATTTATTTGTCTTCATAAATATGTAGGTACAAGGCAGGTATGGAAGAATTGGTCATACTAAGGAAGTTAGTTGGTGCAGACCCTGAGAACAAGCGTCATTGTGTTCGTTTTCTCTCTACCTTCAAGTACCGGAATCATCTATGTTTAGTTTTTGAATCTCTTCATATGAATTTACGTGAAGTTCTCAAGAAATTTGGTCGTAATATTGGTTTGAAGCTTACTGCTGTGCGGGCATATGCTAAGCAACTCTTCATAGCACTGAAACATCTGAGAAACTGTGGTGTTCTTCATTGTGATATCAAGCCAGATAATATGCTGGTATGCATGCAGTCAACATCCTCTTCATTTTATTTTCTCATACTCATTTTTGTTCTCCTCCGGTTGATTTTGATTTCTTTCTCCGACTATTGTCTATTTCTTTCATTAGGTGAATGAAGCAAAAAATGTTTTGAAGCTTTGTGACTTTGGTAATGCCATGTTTGCTGGTAAAAATGAAATCACCCCTTATCTTGTTAGCCGTTTTTACCGTGCCCCTGAGATCAGTGAGTATTTCATTTTTTCTTGTACTTTCTTTTTGTTTCCTACTTAGTTCTTGCAATTTTTCCATTTTTAGCCAGCGAACTGATGTATTGCCTCTTCTGTAGTTCTTGGCCTGACGTATGACCACCCATTGGATATCTGGTCAGTTGGTTGTTGTTTGTTTGAGCTTTACACTGGGAAGGTTCTATTTCCCGGGGCCACCAATAATGACATGCTACGACTTCACATGGAACTGAAAGGACCTTTCCCAAAAAAGATGCTTCGGAAGGTCAGAACTCAGTTTGATTTTGTCCTCCATCAATTTTCCCTTGTTTTCCTGTAAAGATATTTGCTGCTTATGAAGTCGTTACTTGCTAATTTGTTGCAGGGAGCATTTACAGATCAACACTTTGACCAGGACTTGAATTTTCTTGCAACAGAGGATGACCCTGTCTCAAAGAAGGTTCGTAGGCGATTGATCTAGTGATTTTGCTTTTCCTGTGCATGGTTGACACTTCATTTCATGTTTGTGAGAATGAATCTATCACTTTTGTTGAGTTTTTACTCTGTCCTTGCAGGTAATAAGGAGACTGCTAGTAAATATCAAGCCAAAAGATTTTGGCACATTAATATCTGGATCTCCTGGCGATGATTTGAAAATGGTAGCTAATTTTAAAGACCTTATGGAAAGAATTTTTATCTTGGATCCAGACAAGAGATTGAATGTATCACAAGCCTTGAGCCATCCTTTTATCACGGGCAAGTGAACCATGATGCTGGTTCTCTGACTACAGAATTGCTGTTGCATTAGATACTTGTACATTTCAGTGATGTCTCAATTCTAAATTATCTAATTGGGCATTTATCTGTCTTTGTCTTCTCTTTGCGGGAGCAAGAATTCAGGAGATAGTGACTGGGGCATTGGTTGAAGTTCTTAGAGATGATCTTGAGGGAGCAATTACCTGGGAGTTCTTTCCATGGATTATTTTCTGTTTCTATTGTAAGAAACTCACTGAAGGCGTATTTCCCTCTGTTTGTACTTATTCTTAATGATGACCATCAAGAAACTTTAACGTGAAATCATTGTTTTTCTAAGTTCTCTATTTCCTTTAACACGTTCTATGTGCCCTCTGCAGTTAAATTGGCGGCATTATTTGCCTCAATATAGATATCAGTAAATTAATGTTTCAGCCATATACATTCCTTATTGTGATTGTGATTATTTTCGGGATTTCATCTGGAAAGTTGGTATAGATTTAGGATGTCTATTCTCCAACAAAATATACTTTTCATCCAGGTGGTTTGTCGGAACAATGGATGATACCATTTCTATTTTCGCAATTCCTTCTAATTTTCTGTTTATTTGTCAATTTACTTATATTCCCCTGTAGATCTTTTGGATTCTTGAGAGTCTAATCTAATCTTTCATTCAGGAGATCTACCTATGCTATGAGGAAATCGTTCAGTGGTTTAGATGATTAAAGGCACTCTGGAGAAGGTACCTTGGTTTGTTTCTTAGGAGTTTAAATGTGGACCTTTGAGAACTAACAGCATATATATGTTTTATGAATGACTTTTTGAATCATTTGCCAAGATTTGGATATCGGTAGTCTACTTTAGGATATCGAGTGTCGGGTGTTATATACTTCTTTGAGTTATTGACATGACTACCTTAATGCTCTCACATTGTCTTTTCAAAGTTTTAGGCATATATAAATGAACCTCTTACAACAAAATCGAATATTTGTCATTTCTGATTCATCTATGGCCCGAACTTCTGAAGATTGTTTTTTATAAATGTCCTTAGTATTTGTCTGATGTGGCTTAAGTTATATTGTGTGCTTTTTTGGGATTATGGATGCTTAGTTGCTGCTTTTTAGAATTTCAATAGTATATTTATCATAAAGTTGTTGTCTGATCCATGGTTTGGTTGTTCTGGAGGATTTTTATGCTCCGGAGATGTTCAGATGCTGCTTTCAAGTGTGAAAACATTTATGTAAGTCGCCCCTCTTCAGTTTGTTTGTCGTCTTTTTGCGATAATATGTGATTTAGTTATGACCTTCATTTTTGTGTTTGTAGGGTATTATGGCATCTATATCTCCGGTTAGTACCTCCTATTTTTGCTCATTGTCCTATTCGAGTATTTATCTAGTTCTTTCTGAGGAATTCAACTGTTTGGTTAGAAACTTTGATCTACATGCAACAATGGAACTGACATTCATGTGAATTGTAGATCAAAGTTCTTGATTAATCTTTTGCATTTTTGTGAAACTGAGATTATAACGTGATGGTTATCATAATTTTTTGACTGGGTGAACTTGTTGACTCATAATCTGAGTTATGTTACTGTAACCGGCAGATTTGTATCCGTGTGACTAACCGATATGCATTTAGGTCTTAACTTAAAAAACTAGTTTATGCAAAGAGGTAGTAAACACTTTTCAGGAACATAATCATGTTTCCACTTCTAGGCTCTTATAATTAGTCATTGCATTGAAATGAAGCTCGTTTAGAACATGAAGTTTGTACCATTTTGCAAAAGCGTGTATTGTTAAATACAACTGTTACTTCAAGAGAGCTTTCTGGCTCATATTTCTAGATTTATCTGATCTTAATTGATAGATTTATAGCAGTGTGGACGGACTTATGGGCATTTGTTCTTAATTTAAATAACGAGTTAATATGCAAGGTAGGAAATGATTTTCTACCTTACAGTTTTAAGATTCCTTGGGGTTTAATGTTATGTTGTCGAGGGACAAAATCTATTTTGTGTGGGCAATGGTATTGTGATAGAAACAATCTACTTCTTTGGTGAATAAGCAACATAATATACAAGTGATCTGGAGAATGAATATCTTAAGAAATGGCAGACTTTAGTGCATCTACAAGTTCAGTATTGTCCCGTGTAACCACACTTCGTTATTACAAGTCTATAATTTAATTTATTTACCTCTAATATTATTATGATCTCCTGTTAGACTGTCAAGAATCTGGCCGTTTTGAGATAATTACTGTTCCTCGTAATTATCTTCTAAATAAAAAATGAAAAAACGGAAAATTGTTTGTTCTTGATGGGTCTTTGCATACATGCTCTAATTAGGAATAGTTTGACTCCCTAGTATTCTTTTTTCTTCGGTTAATCGGTTTCATTGATTTTAGGTGGATATCTCATCTTACAACTACATTGACACGCGTTGTGATTAACATAGTTGCATGAGTTGGTCATACAGTTAATAAGATCTTAGAAAAGAAATCCAATGATTTAGTTGCTTATAACTTCATTATTACCTTATCTTAAAACAAAGTGTTGAGGAATTTATAGCTAACCCCCCCGACTCCCACAATCCTTTTCTTCTAAAAATTCAAATTCTTTTGCAAACTGGAAAGAGGGATGGTTACTTTGTTGTTGACTTATTATATGAGTACGAGGAGAAGTGGAAGAGAGCACGTCTTGGTTTATATGCCAGATCCATCGATTTTCTCTGGTCAGCTTATGAGCATATATCTATTCTACTAAAAATCTCCATTTTTGTGTATAAGATTTGTGCCTTATGAAGAGCCATAATGCAAAGGTATGTCTATATAAACTACAGTTTGTTTGTGAAATTTATTTGTATAATTGAGTGGTGTCGAAAAGGGAAGCGTTAATTGACGTCCTGCCCCCACAATTCAATTTTAAGTACCATCTTACAGAGATGCGGTACATCATGCATGTGTAGTTCAATCTTGTACATATAATAATGCTGAAGGGTCAAATTTGTTTATAAGTGGATGGTTACATTGGTTTCTTCACATGTGGTGATTCGATCAGCAGTTCGATAGGCATAAAGTTATCTGAGCGTCTGTGATGCGATCTGTTTAGGCATATCATTGATGGTCGTATGCATAATTTAATGAAATTGAAGTTCCATGTTACAAGTTCTTAATTGGTTTAATGATTATCATTTTGTCGTGTTTCTGCGGAAGCTCTGAAATTTCAAACCGTACCTAAGAATGCATGTGAATTTTGTCGATATTCTATTTTTTATTTTGTATATCCGTTATAGTTGAAGATAACCTGTGGATCATGCTACAAAACAAAACCCGAGACAATTGATTTGGAACAAAAAAATCATTTGTTTGATGGTTAGGTGTTTAGGTCACAGCACAGTCATCTAATAAACTACAAAGTTGCAAACATAAAAGAAGTTTGAAAATTAAAAGTTTTTGTTACGAGTACTGAGTGGATGGGTGGTAGGAAGGTCTATTCTATGCTACACTGGTTGAAGTACACTGCGGTAGATCTTTACAGTTCATATAGACACAAATAAACACAGCCCCACATTGGTGTCTGTAAATCAACGGTCAAAAAACACCTGGTGTAGTAGTATGAAAATAACCGTGATGGGAGTTGAAGGGCAACCGAATTAACTGGAAGAAGAGAGCACATGAAGAAAGCAGGGAATAAATGCTGGAGAAAGGATACGCATGTTAATTATGGTTAGGTGTTCAATGTTGCGTTTAGTTAGGCTTGAACGTGTAGTTGTTATAAATTTATCAATTAATATCATTTGAGTATTCTCGATAATTAAATGTTTGATTCTTAATATTGATTTTCGATGCCAAGAACTGGCAAATTAAATTCTTGTTTTATTTTTATTCAATCTTATCATAGAACAAAATAACAATTGACAATTAAAAAAGTAAAGTGAAAATACCGCCAATGAAAAAGCCCCTTTAAAAGTTATAATATTGCAGTGGTTATCCAGTGAGAAGCAATCAAATGTAAAGGGAATTCTAATTTTCGTCATAATTAAAGCATCAAACAATGGCTAGACTTTGTGTTTTCCAAGATATGGCCATGGATCAGTGAATCCCAGAATTACTGAAATGCCAAGGAATAACGAAACGGAACGTGAAAGGTAGACTTTTTTTTTAAGATGTATAGGACGCCATATTGATATTGAAACAATACGAGTAAAAAAGAAGCCAACACTGGAAAGCTTCGAGTCTCACGTCTTAAAATATTTCACCACCTTAAACGTATAACTAAAAATTACTTTAAGACAAGATACGAGATCTTGTACCATATTTACCATTATAACCTGACAGAAAAGGCTAGTTGCATCTGGTTCGCTTCCTACCGGTCTGCACTAGTTCACCAAACGATTGCAAGCTTACACCAACATCTTCGTCGTACTCCACACCGAGTTCCTCCTTTTAAAAGTAAGATGAAAATTTGTATTATAAAGAATTGCTAAAAGCTTCTCAATGTTGCAACACAAATTAAATGGCTTAATCCAACAGAAATTACCTTGAATTCTTTTGGATTCTTGGGTGAGTTCTCAGTTATAGCATCCCATACATCTTTGAACATTCTCTTGCGTCTTCTCCACTGATTTATCATGTTCGTATATATCTTCTCCACAGCCTGTCGCTCTTCTGGGGTCACCAGAGTTACTCCTTGCCTCAACTTAATCAATCTTTCCTCCATTTGGTTCACCTGTAAATTATTATAATGTCATCAACAACACGCCTATGCTATCTTGTTTTAGACTGCATTAGTTTCGGTTTTTTGTGTCACAAACCTCATCTCCTAATTGGATTTGCCTCGCATGAATCTCCTCCAGCGTCAAATTTGTCTGCAGTGCCTTAATCTCTGCCATAATTAGTTGCATCAAATTGGGTTCGAAAAAAATTACCTAAATTGCTAAGAATTCACAGAGAAAAAATCCCACGTCAAATAAAAATGATTGATTATTTTCTCTCTGCAGGCAGTCCTGATTGTGCTTCACTTGACATTGATACAAGAAGAATTTAGGGTTCAAATATTATTCTGAAGCGTCACATAATACAGGAACTTTAAGAGGCAGTCAATCGATGAAGTTAATCCCATGAACACAAGGACTTTGCGTATCGTCTTTTTGTAAATGAAAGTATGTAACATGTGAAATCAACGAACACCCAAAGACTGAAGTACAACGCAACTGAATATATTTGCTTAACAACAAACGGTAACTCTTTATGGGAAAGACGAAAAAGAGATTAAAGGAGAAATCTATATACCTCCTTCAACCTCAGCAATAGCTTTCTTTCCTTCAGCAAGCTGTTCTTGGAGCTTCGCATTTTCTTCTTTCATCTGATTGAGCTCTTCATTATTAGGTATGTCGAACTGGTCTTGCCTAGCCAGGTATATTTTCTGCTTGCCGTACTCTTTGAATGATATTTTGCCGCTATCCGCAAGGCTATCCAACGCTTTTTGTACCGCAGCTTTTTTGAGATTAAACTTTTGCAACGAATCAGCCACATTTTGTGAATTCAAAGGCTTATTGTGCTGCAATAAATACACAATCTACATAAGCAACGATTACACCAGGCACCAGGTTTAGCTAATCACTCAATCTGGCAGTAATTCATGGCATTAATTTTCAGACTAATATTTTCTCAAAAAATTCACTCATCCCACAACAAACATCATTAACGTTATTAACACTAACTAAATCAAACAATTTATTTTTCCTTTAATTTTTCCCACTGCAATTTTTTCTCTCTGTTTGGTCGCATAAGATAGCAGAAAATGAAGAATAAAATATAAGCTGAAAAAAAATCAGATACCCAGAATTAATGAGTAAATACAATCAATCGGAAAATCAACAGTGTACGTATCTAGCTGGAAATCAACGAAGAACAAACCATCTATCAACAAATCAAATCGGAACATCTCCAAAAGTGCAAAAAAGGGGACGAAACTCACCTCATTCACGAAGTTGAGCACGATTCCTGGAAATAAACACAAACAATCGATAAATTAAAACATTAAGAAACTAAATATCTGGAAACTGATGACATCCCCATGCAATTTATGTATATGTAGATGTTTTACCTTCAGCGCTATCCGATTTGGGAGCCATTGATTGCAGAGCTTTAGAGAGCGGGAAAAAGTTTTTTGTGGGGAGAAGAAAACCTTCTATTCACGACTGAGCTTTTTGAATTTTATATTTTGGGATTTTTTTTAGTTTCGAATACGACGTCGTCTTGCGTACAAATGAAGTTGTTACTTGTTAATAGTTTGATACCACCGATTAGCGATACGGCGATTGTAGTTGAAACTGGAGGGCACTGTACTAAAGAGAACAAGAGAGAAGGCTGTTTAATTGTCAATGAATCAGAGCATGCCACGTAGCCTTCCACCAGCACCACCACTTTACTCCGCTCTACACGATAACTGCAGACGGTAAAAAATTCCAAATCGCCGCCGTCGTCGCCGGAGTAAAACTGTTGAAGATGCAATTCGCTACGGCAACATTGTCTCCGCCGACACTAATTTACGCTCCACGCAAACAGTTGAATTTTTTCAACCCTAGAACTCCTATTTCGCTTTCGGAAGGGAGAGCAGCAAAAGGTGTTGCTGTTAAATCCGGTGGCCAAAATCAAAGACACGATCTATCTCTTCGTGCGAAAACTGCGACGAGATTCGGCGCTCGTCGGAAATTCATTTCCGTCACAAGTGCCGCCACAAGCGGCGGCGGTGACGGTCGTTCGGTACCGGAGTTGGACGATAATGCCAGGAAATTACTGCAGGCTCTTCTTTGGATCGCGGAGGGTGTTTATATCATCTGGCTCTTCTTACTCCCCTATGCTCCTGTAAGTATATATATATATATACACACACACACACATTACGCATATATTTTGGTTTATTTGAATACTATGTGCCAGAATGATTGTGTTTTGTACAGTGCTCTTCAATTTTTCCCCCAAATTTCATAGATGTTTAAGAAGCATGCTTGATGATCCAGTGGAAACGCCATTAATCTCTGTAGACAGCAGAGTGTGAAGTATTGAGCATTTTTTCGATTTTGTATTTGAATTTCCATGTTCATTTCTACAATTTCTCTACTAGATAATCTGGTTGTCTTCATCGTTAATTAAGCTTCTCGTAGTGTGGAGGATCTGTTATACACACGCAAATGTTTACAAACTATATGTTGATGATTTATCGGAGAATTACTACATCTGGTGACGTATTTTGCGCATCGTTTCATAGTTGCATTTTCTGCTGTGCTAAGTAGATGTAAGATCTAATAAAATTCCACTCGTTTGGTTTTAAGATTCTGGCATATGTTTTTGTACGTGATGCAGGGAGATCCTGTCTGGGCCATCAGTTCGGAAACGATAGACTCTCTCATAGGCCTTTCTCTCAATTTCTTCTTCGTTCTTCCTTTGTCGAACTCAGGTAATCTTCAGTTGCATTTGAAATCAGCTCGTCGTTTCTTCTTTAGATGTGCTAAATGCTACTTGACTGATGATATTGTCACTCGTAAACTCAAAATTCCCCGACAAATGGAACGTAAAACTCAAGAGAAGCTAAGGGCTTAAGATTAGCACATCGGTAATGGTTAATGGAGGAGAGATGTATTATTAACATATTTTACTGGTCTAAGTACTGTTGTTCACTGAAATGGAAACTGTCGGAAATATGTCTGATATCATTATAACTACTGATACCGTATATACCAGACTCTGAAACCAATACGAGAATCGGGAAAAAAAATGAACCTATTATTAAAGCCACAGTGACCTTTCTTCGGTTTCTCATCTCAGATAAATACGAATTTCAATAAGCATTGTAAGTGGCAATAATTTTTAAACGAATCCTTTCGTTGTATGCCTGTATTTTTTTCGTCACTCAAAGTCACTTGCAAAATTTTATCAGCATGTTATTATCTTTGTGATATATATTCGAATTAAGGTAGTTTTCTTTTGGGGTTTTAACTAGATAATGTTTAATCGTATGTATCTTGATTTTCATACAATCGAACTTTGGCAGAGTAGTCGGTATTCACCTAATTGAGGCACCAGTACTTCACCCGGTAACGTTTACTTGCTACTACTACATTTATCTGTTCAAACGCTTCATCCCACATTGTACTCGTGGTTTAATTAATTAAACCGATTCCAGATATTTTACGTCTTCTTCTTACACAGATGTCTGAAGGATTGTTCAACTTTGTAATCGGGTGGACTTTAATGTTTGCTCCTTTGCTGTACACTGATAAAAGGAGAGAAAGATACAAAGGATCACTCGACATTCTTTGGGGCTTTCAGATGTTCCTCACAAACAGTACTCTTCCTCAATACTATCGCATGATTTTTATTTTTTATTTTATTTTTTTTTTAATTTTTTTTTTGTGTTCGACTATTATTTTATATTATTTAATCATTGTTGCAGCATTTTTAATTCCTTACATGGCTATACGTCTGAACGAGGCTGACGAGGAAACCAAAACACCCAGAAAAATCTCCAAACTCGGCTCCATTATGATGAAAGGAGCGCCTGTTGTTGGATTGGTCGGTGGATTTGTTTGTTTGTTTTCGATACTGTGGGGTGTCTATGGGCGAAATGGTAATTTTGGTGATTTGGCGCAAAGATGGGAGTTTTTGGTAAGCTATTTAGGGTCCGAAAGACTTGCTTACGCCTTTGTATGGGATATTTGCCTGTACGTAGTTTTTCAGACGTGGTTGATTGGAGACAATTTACAAAACGTTCGGAAAGATAAAGTTGGTTTGGTTCGTTTTCTAAAATTTGTACCGGTAGTTGGCCTAACTGCCTACTGTCTCTGCTTAAATGCTGATAATGAATCATAAGGCCGAGTACATACATTATTCCATCGAAAAATTTCTTGTACATTACATTATTCCATCGATTTTAAGTGAATTATCTATCGGTTATATATCAATCGAATATCATCGAGGAACTTCGATTATCAAATAATGACTGAAAAAACATGTACGTTATTGGCAACGGTACATTCAAATGATCCAAGAAGATGTGTATGTTTTAGTTGTCAACATTCAAGGCTAATTGGTGGGGAAGTTCGTGTTTTTTTTTTTTTTTTTTTTTTTTTTTTTTTAATCTCGAAATCGTTCAATTCTTACAGAATTTTGCGATGTCTGATGAGAGATGTACCTGCATTTCAATTGACAGAAACTGTATATATATATATATATATATATATATATATATATATATATATATATATATATATATATATATATATATATTCATCCGTAAGCTTTATGGGGTTGTCTAGGGTCCGAGAGGGTTGTACTTCTCGGACCGTAAGTAACCAATAAAGACGCGCCACGTAGGATAGTACGTACCCAGTAAAAAAAAGTACGAACCCCACATTACAAGTAAAATTACTTAAACACCCATTCTAATTAAACTAAAAACTTAATTATATAATTGATAACTTATTAAATGAAAAAATAATATTACGAATCAAATCTAATTTCTTAAACGTTAAACCTAATTACAACAGCCTCCTCAGTCCTTAACTCATTAATGATCGTTCCTCTCAAAAACAAAATTAATCATCGATCTTTTCCTCCTCTCTGGCAAACTTCAATTCTTGGGGCACGAAATCATTTTGTAGAGAAAGGTAAGTTAATATGTTCATGTATTTGCCCGAAAATCTACATTCTTGCCATTTTACTATCAAAAGTAACAGAGTCAAAGGCTAAAAGTTAAGAATGCGATCGATGCGATCGATTATGAATGTTGTTTTGAATTCATAATCTTGCTGATTTATGAGAATTGTTACATGCTTTACAATATTCAAATTGAAATAGATTTATATAAAATTATGGCAGAGGGACGAATATCACTTCTTCAAATTTCTCTGTTTGTCTTCGAAATTATTATGTTTTAGTTACCAACGGTAGAACTGATGTTTGGGTTGACATTTCTTTATGTTTAAGAAATAAGTGTTTGAATTGGAGAATATACTACATGGAACTAACAACCTGCTTTATATCCATTTGTTTGCCTTGGATTTTATTTTCCTTTGTTAGCTTCTTATGTTTGCTCGAATAGTGTTTGGTAGTTGAAGCTTTAAATTGAATAATCGACACTTAATTAATCTTTCCTTGAAATAAGTTTTTGGGCCAAGTATGTATCTTAATCATCTGGTTCTGTGTTAACTGATTTTGCTCAAAAGTTTTTGATCTATTTTGTAAGAAAAAAGAACTGTTGTATCCTACGGTTCCTAGTATCTTGCTTGTGGTTCAGTTAGCTGCAGCGCAAGTTGGCAACCGCAAAGAGTTTGATGCTTTGATGAAAAGTAGAACGAGGAAGATACCATTACCAATATAAACTTTAAGTCTTCAAAAAGTTGAAGGAAGACTGGAGGAAGGATTCAGAAGGCTTGGTAGTATAAGAATCTGTATAATTCATATTGTTCTTTTGACTTGGCTTTAGTTGTAGATTTCTTTTAATTTACAGAAAGTCTTTGTTTTTACCTTCCACATCAATTGTACATGCAATATCAGCACCCTAAATTCCATGTTGTGACCTTTCTGCCAAGCTTGTGTGATTTTCTTAACTTCTGAGGGAGGATGGTAAAATTGTTTCTTATGTCGTTATTCCTTTTGCCTTAACACAATATTTTATAAATTAATATGTCGCATTATGAAGAATTAGTCCATTTCTTATACGAAGAAATGACCAAAATTTGCTATTTAAGGCCGTGAAAATATAAACAATATAAAATTAACAAAAATCAATCAACATGAGAAAAATAAACAGACCAATGAAGACTTCATGATTAAACCATATAACATATTTATTAACCAATCGAGATCTCATTTGCACTGGTATAATCAATATCCAAATTAATAAATAGAAGGAACTGTTTTTCAAACATGTTATAGCATCATATTGTATTGCCATAACCGTAATGGGAGGAGCAATCCTACCATTCTATTACAACTCATCATTGATAGATACATCCACATGGGATTTTTTTTTTTTTTTTTTTTAATAAAACTAGATTTTACAAGTGCTTCCTTTACCAGCCATTAAAGTGATTGGTAGTTTTTACCACAATAAAACTTGTCAAGGAGAACAAATATCTGTTAGAAATGAGAATAACCAATTCCAAGTTCACATCTTTTACGGTCGAAAGGATGCCTAAAATGTTGGAGTAATGGAGTCTAAGTATTTAGTAGACTTAAACTCTACAAATTTGGGAGATAAAACCGATGATAAACTTGGCTTATATAGCCTTACAAAACACATGAAGGAGAGCTGGAATACACATAACTAAATTGAAAATAAATGGTGAAAATAATCAGCCCAAAATAAATTGAACTTAAAACAATATAATAAATCTTTCAGTTTGAACATCATCCTCCCTCAAACTAATTGCACAATCAGTTTGTATCAGAAAGTTACAAACTCCCATCATTTTGTTCAACAGGGTTTCCTAGATCCGGCATTAATCTTTGAGAGTTTAATGGCCGAGCTATTTTCAGAAAATATTACAGTAAGCTCCACGCATTAATCTTTACGACGAACTAAACGGCTTGACACTGCATGATGTGGCTGAGACAAACTCGGCTTCTCTGGAGTAATAAATTATTTACTAACTAGAGGAATAACTTCTTACCTGAAATTAAGCATAAAAGATATGAAATAGAAATATGATATACAATACTCGCGTGTAAGCTTTTTACAACTCAAACATTGAGCGTTTGAGTTATAGAGATAAGACATACTTCTCATGACTCATAATAATGTCAATAACAGAAACATATCTTTCCAATAATCTAAATCACCAAATACAATCTATCTTACAATACTATTACGCAGTTAAGCTATTTCACAGATTACTTATGGTGCACAAAATGACAATCCTCAGCCCCAAAATTTAAAACAATTGCTTATGATGCAAACAAGCTATTTCAAATAATTTCCATGCTCATATATACTTCAATTAAAAAAAAAACACACACAGTATAATTCTAAATCATCAAAATCACAACCATACTCATATGTACCGAGAAAAGAACAGAACAAAAGTACAACAAACTACATAAACGAAGCACCTTAATATATGCACGTACATATATATATGAAGTTAATGTTAGAGGGACACAAAATAATTTGTATTTACACACAAAAATCATAGAAATTGTTTGTTGTTTGAAACTCGAATTCCAAATTTCTACGTCTATTGAGATGGGCATCGAGACAATGAGGACTCCATATTTCCCAACAATTCCAAATTTCATGGTTCTATTGGCCATGGAAAATGATTGAGAGGGCCGGCGGACGATCAAGAGGGACGAAAGTAAGAATTCTGCAAAATCTCGATCTGCAGAGATTGTGATTTTGGGGAAGAACATTTGGCAGGTTTTGATTTTATTTCACGTGAAATATTTTTTAATTAACTATTATTATTGTAAATGAAGATTATGAGATTTTTTTTTTTAATTTATTGATTTGAGTTTATAAGGTTAAATAAGTAATTTATATAAAATACGATGTGTGTACGATAGGGTACAATGTGTTTTTACTGGGTACGTACACTATTTTTTAAAATATATGGTATCGTACTAGGTCGTACATAAGATCAATGGATATGATTAAATTTTAAATATTTCGTACGGACCAGATTAGATATCTTATGGTCCGAGAAGTACAACCCTCTCGGACCCTAGACAAAGCTTTATCCGCATGAAATTGAAAAAAGTACAAAGTACAAAGTCATTAGTTCAAATAAAAAGAAATAAAAAATAAGAATTTAATAAAAAAAATTATTTATTTCTTGAAAATTGATATATATATATATATATATATACACACACACACATGAGATAATCTATTAACCCTTTTTTGCCGACGCTGAAAGTTTCCAGTTTATGAAGAGCCAACCAATTGGACAAGCTTTTATCACGTGTTAATTTATAATCTTAATTAGCTTATGTTTCTGCACATACATGAAAAGCCATGGCTGAACTATTCATCCATTTCTTTGCCTGCAGATTTTATTTTATTTTGTTTTATTTTATTTAATATAATCAGAAAAAGCCAAATGCAACAAATCGTGAAGGCTTCTTCTAATTCCAGCTTTTCCAGAAAAGGAAAAAACGAGTTTGAAGGCTTCAAAAAAGCTGCCTGAAAGTGAGATATTTAGATATATCACCACACAAGATTCAAACACCAATCAAATTCTTACACGCGTCCAACATTTCATACAGACAGCCCTCCCACCACCACAGTTCAAATTCTTCACGTGCCACCATTACATCATGATCACCACTGAAAACTCCGGTGCTTCGATAGCGAAATTCTCTAGGTCAAATATTTAAAAAAAAAAAAAAAAAGCAACGTAAAAATCGTTGGTTTAATTTACGCACGTCACCATTTCCGCCTTCTTCTTTTTTTTTGTCGTAATTAACTCGATGATGCATCGACACATCTGATCCAGATATTATATATTGACTTGTGTTATTTATTGAACTTCTTGAATATTTCACTGATAAAAAAAAGTCTTCATACATATATATACATATATACATGTGTAGTTCTGTCATCATCCCTTTAATTTTGTTTTAATATATTTCTCTTCTTCTCTATAAATACATTCACATCGAAAACGTATAAACCATTCATTCATTCGTTCATTCATTCATCATATTCATTCAACAGATCGATAATATAATAAATTGCCAAAAAAAAGAAGATGAGCAAAGAAAGATTGCTCCCGTTTCGTCGTTTCGAAGGGAACTACGATGAAGAAAAGAGTACTTTCCAATCGTTTCGCGATAAAATAACGCAGCTTTGGAGCAATTCTTGCGATTTTTCCAAGAAAGCTTTGGAGATGGGTAAAAAAGACCCTCGGAAAATAATATACGCTATCAAAAGTGGATTTGCTTTGGCCTTCGTATCGTTGTTCATATTCTGGAAAAAGCCGCTCCCCGATGTCTCTCAGTTCTCGATTTGGGCAATCCTCACCGTCATTGTCATGTTCGAGTTCAGTATAGGTAATTATACGAGATCTTCTTTTTACTTTT